CACAGGAGGTTGCTCCATCAGAGATTTCTACTGCTGCTAAAAGGCCCACTATCCTTGCATACATTGTCCTGCAGAGGCTGAGCACTGAAGGATGTTGCTATACTGTTGGCCACTGCTGCATCTCTGAGTTAACTTGGACTTCATTAAAGGTACTCAAAGAGCAGAGCTCACTGGATGTGACATTCTACCATCACATTATGGTTAACCCTACTCTTTGAGCTTACCATCTTAGGAGGTAGACAAGAAAAATAAATTCTGAAGCTGCACTTTGCCAGGAACAATAGCAAGAAAAACTCAAGAGAAATCCGCCTGAAGTGTCAGAGAGGGCCTCTGAGCTTAATCTGAATCATGGAAGAATTTCCAGGCAGACGCAAATGCAAAGACTTTGCAGTTTAAAGAGTCAATCACACACAGGAACAGAGAGCAGGTCAGTGTGTCTAGAGCCAAGGGTGCTGGTTAAGAGCTGGAAAAGGAGAAAAGAACATAATGTGATAGTAGGAGCAAATGTGACTCCATTTTGTTTTATGACTACTGTAAAACAGCCATGCCAAGTAGAAGAGTCATGACTGGGGCAAGATGTTCTTTTTCTTTTGCTATAGAAACCTTTAAGAATACAGAACTACCTATGGGGTATTGTTTCTGTAACTAGGGTAAGGGGGCTGTTTCTGTAACTGGGGTAACTGGGGTGACTGGGCTAACTGTGATTGGTTAGGCTTCCCTCCGCTTGACTGCACTCTCCTGCTTCTGTAACTTGGCTTGCTTGCAATGGCTGGACCCCCAAACATCCCTTTTGTGTTTTTCAGGCTTATAAGGAGTGCCCTTGCAATTGTTTGGGGCTGATCAGGGGAACAGCTTTATGTTCTGGTCAGCCGCCATCGGTGTGCTTCAATAAAGGCTTGATTCGATTATATGTGAGTGGTCTGGAAGTTAGTTTATGAAACCCCTGGACGAAGCTTTAACTGTTACAATATCAAGGAGGGCAAATGCCAAAGAGTTGGGACTACTGAAGGAAACTGGAAAGTTTGAGTTGAAGGCAGTGAGGAAGATGTGTGGAAGACAGGGTTAGAATGAGACAGGAAAGACAGAAGACAACTGGGGCATCCAAATGAAAACTGATAAAGGTAGAAACTAAAGTAGGGATAGAGGATGACCCTGATCCTAGATGTTAAGGAGTGAAAAGACCACATCTAGGGACAAAGTAGATAGCAGGGTAGTAGAAGGCTTTGAGTCTAGGGTAGTCACTAGATGTCCTCTTAGAGGATGAGGTGATTGGTATTGCCATTGATTGCAGAAATAAAGGGAACAGGAGAAAAGAAGAAGGTACATTTTAAATTTGTGGTGTGTCGCAAGGGGACAAAATTGCAACCTATGCAGTCGAGGGGAGAAATAAAGAATGCCTACGTGTTTCTGTCCCTTTCAATACTTTATTCACTCAAATTACTCAATACAATTTCACTCTATAGGTTCTTAATCAAGAAAACGACAATGCTTGATGCTAGGCACTGGAATAGACATAATCAATTCACAGCAAGCAATTCTAGATTAATTAATACAGGAAACAATTCTAGATTAATTCTAAGCATTGCAAAACACACTTAATCATAACAGGCTAATGACAGACATTCCCTCTGCAGGCTAAGTTCAAAAGTCTTAAGCCTTAGGCTTTATGTCCAGTAGATGCACACTCACTCAGACCAGTGACATCATTTACCCTGGGGTCAGAAACATCTGGTCTGGTGGTCTCCACCCTGATCTTCTCGCCTGATAAGTGAGGCCAGCCTGCCAGCAGCTTCACTCTGTTTATCAGGGTGAGGGGAAGTAACTTGTTTGAGAGGCCAACTGGAGGGGTCTAAGGGTGTGCCTGGTGAGACTGCAGGTTTCAAAATGGAGTTTTTAAAAATGGAGTTGCTTAGGTTCGGGCCTTAGGTCATCCTCACAGGTGCCTCTGGAAGCTCAGTGAGAAGATGTAGTTTTCAGTAGAAGAGGAAAAGTATGTAGTTCCATTAATCAGAGAAACTGGTGTTTGAGAATTTAATCCCTAAAGAGAATTGAGACACAGAGGACTAAATCTGTGCCCTCACAGCAGAAGCTGCTCCCCTTCTTTCTTAATGTGTTGAAAGGTACTGTCAAAAAAAAAAAAAAAAATTTTTTTTTTTTTTTTCATATTGGGAGGCCTTGGTTGATAAGTGGATATCACATGATTTCTCTTCACCTGGAATTGTTCACTGTTAAAAAAATAAAAAGGAGGATAATACCTCCCTGGGCACATTCCTTCCCTTCATCCAGTGTGATGTGAGCTGATCACATATCAAAGAACCTGGCTTGGGAGCTGAGTGTGGACAAAAGTCTGACTGATCTTCACTAACTCTGAGTTTGGGCTAATCTCTAGGTGGGGAAGGACCCCTTTCTTTAACTGGTCAAAGACTGTGTCCTATAAAGCAGGGTTCTAAATATGAGAGATCATGTATGTGAAATGCCCAAATGGCACAGAGGAAGCATTCAACAAAGGTATGTGATTCATATGAACTCTGCACATTGATTACAAGCTTGGAAAACTTGTAGCAAAATGCCAAACTAGAAAGAACACACCTCTTCTCAACAATTGCAACATTGCCCTGGATCCTACTATACAGTTCTTGGCAACTGCTGAGATAATAAGAGAATCAGATATTTATAGCTCTGGTAAAAAGTACTGCAATCGTTATTTATGGATCCTGCACAGTGCCTGGGAAAAATACAGAGAAATGTCACTAGAACTATCAAGTTTCAAAATACTTTGCCTAGGAAAACCATGGTTTCTTTAAGTTTCATTTTGCTTTACTGTATTTAAGCGTAGGCTACTGAATCTGCCTTACCTGCCCAAAAGGCAAAAAACAAACACAAAACAGAACAAAAAAACTTGTGGTTTTTTTTTTTACCGTCAAACCATTTTCTTCCAGAAAATCCAAACCAGCATCTACCTCATCCTGGTTACATTGTTACCCCTGAGGACTTGGATTGACATCTCTAATTAAATTCTGTTTCTCCAATCGCGGGCACAGTGGTCTGGAGGTCGGGGTGAAGACTTGGGAAGACAAAGCCAGGCTTTCCCAGGTGACAACCGCACTCCCCGATACTGAGCTGGACCCTGGCATCACTCTCTGCAAGAGAGCACGGAATTTCATTTCTCTCAAGTTGTCCAGACGCCCCCAGTTTTTTCTTTGGGGGAGGCAGAGCTGAAGCCCGACAACCCAGGAGAGTCTATGGGGGTCATTCCCCATAGTGACCACACGGTACAACCACGCGGATGGCTTTTAAAAAGTTGTAGTGTCTACTGCTTCCCAAACCAGGATACCGGCCCGGGCGGAAAGTTTCGGGAGCGCGCGGGCGCTATCACGTGGGCGCTGGAGCCGCCGCCGCGCGCGCTCGCGCCTCTGACGCGCCACGCTGTGGCGCAGGCGCGCACGTGAGCCTTGGGCACGGAGCAGGCAACTCGGGACGCGGAGACCGCCTCCTCGCGGCAGCTGTGCGAAGGCGGCTGGAGCCAGGCAGCCAGCCCGCCGAGAAGGAGGCGTGGGCATGACGCCGGGAGCCGACGAGCCCGGAGCCCGCGCCGTCGCCTAGGGCGCCCCGGGGGCTCGGCGGACGGGTGGGGCTGGGGCTGGACGCGGCCCAGCACTGCGCGGATGGCCGTGCTTCGGCGGACCGCACTTGTCTTCCTGCTCCTGCTGGCCGCCCCTGTCAGGTGCCAGGAGCAGGATCAGACCACCGACTGGAGGGCCACCCTGAAGACCATCCGGAACGGCATTCACAAGATAGACACGTACCTGAACGCCGCCTTGGACCTCCT